CGTAGTAGCAGAGCTGCAAAACTGTTCTGTCAATCATAAATGATCAGCGAAAAATATGGAATACAGTGTTTGTACATAAGGATTAAAAACTGGCAGGTCCTTTAACCAGTTAAGCCCCGAGCCTATTTTTCAGGTCTCAGGCTTGAAAATCACATTCCCAGAACAAATGACTATATCTTCACTTCTAAAAGGGGTAAATGAATGATCTTTTTTCTCAAAGCAATGATACACCTGTGAGTTGGATGTAGAAAAGACAGAATCAATATAGATGTTTTTATTTTAAAGTCAATTCAGATTGAACATAGTAAAAGAAATGTAAAATATAGTTTCCGTCCAAAAAAAAGCCATTACTTATAGTGAAAACCAGCGTTGAATGATGGGATAGGAGACTAAAAGCTTTAGGAATCCAAACATAAAATAAGTACCCTGTATCAAGATTGATGCAAAACAAGTGAAATTTGATCTTTTTAGAGAGATTTAGAAAAAAACCTACTTCCTAGGTCATTTGGGTGCATTTTCCATATCTCTGGAACCCATCGGTCGATTTTGATGATTGACACCTCTTTTTAACCGTTAGAGCCAATAGAATCAAGGGGAAGCTCCTAAAATCCATCTAAACATTACCCATTGGTGAATGAGTGATGCGCAGCCAGAATGCCCAAAACAGGAAGCTGTCATACACTCTTGTAGCTCTCATAGCAGCTATATATGAAAACTCTGTTATTGACATAAATATGATGATGGATTATCAGTAATAATTTCAAAGGGACACAGACACATTGGATTAACCTTCAGCAGTAATTTTATCGTTTTAATGCCATTAAACACAACTTTTGATCAGAAAACAACAAAGCTAAGACGTTTTTTGCCATTTTGGCTCCGTAAAGCTACGCTGTGTGTTGTCTGGTTTCGCATTCGCTGCCGCGAGTTTTGGTCGCACAGTGATGATACTTATACCTCTAGAATCTGTGGAATCTCAGCTTCCGTGTGATATTGTGTAGGAGTTTTGGAGATTGATTGGTAGAAATGTAATATTATTACTCTGTGTATCAAGAGTAAAGATTGTTGTGTTTCCGTGACGTCATCGAGCCCAAAAAGACTTGTTCCTATTGACTTACACTTGGAGAGAGACCTCTGTAAATCAAAGGATAATTCTTTATCAACTAAATAAACTATGTACGAACACATGTATAGTCCTTATTTAAATCATTAGGATCCATAGTTATTTTCCCTCGTACAACTCTGAAATATGCAACCTCATCGCTAGATGTCACCAAAATTCGAAAAAAACTGCTACTTTGACTAACCGTTTGTCTTTAAATAGGTAGATTTATGATCCCCCAGGTAATCCCCCCCCTTCTCCACACAATGTGGTCAACTACAAACACACAGATGTTACATGTGGGGTGAGTTTAGAGGGCGGCCGGCTGTAAAGACCATTTCCTCCTCACCGTCTCACACCAACAACTCCTTTTCTAGTTACTGTAGAGTTCCCACACACACACACACACCACAACACACACACACACACACACACACACACACACACACACACACACACACACACACACACCACACACACACACACACACACCACACACACACACACACACACACACACACACACACACACACACACACCACACACACACACACACACACACACACACACACACACACACACACCACACACACACACACACACACACACACACACACACACACAACTGTACAAAGAGCATTCATGCATGCTCTTGGTCCCTCAACAACTCTTCCTAATTCTCTCGTAGGTCCCTGTGTAGCTATGAAACTTTATATTAGGGAACGCTGGCACACGTCGCAAGCCCTGCACACACAAGTGACATTTCAGTCACATCTGCACTACATAATTTCCACATGATCTTAATTAGATCTGAAGTTTACACGGATAGTTTCATAGCCACAGTCAGCCACTTTGCCTCGGTTCCTATTCTCCCGAGTTTCACAGACGCGCATTCTTGCATTGTGATCCAGCACAATTGGGCTTTCTCTACAAATTGCTAAATTGGTGTAAATGATTATCATGTTAAAGTTGAAACAAAGTCTGGATGCCACAAACTAAACTGCAACTATTTTGCTGAAAAGAGGTATTCTTCTGTTTGTGTGTGTGTGTTTCTTGCGATGATGCATTCTCACGGTCACACACACACACATCTGAACCGCTCTCTCTGTTGTGCATTGAAACTGTGCCTCCATAAATTCTATTTTGTTTCTGAGATGTCGTTAAAAAGCATACAATTTCACTCCGCGGTTTTTACGATCCGACTTGCTTAATTCAATCAGTGTAATAGAAGTTGGGTCGTGTGGGATTCAACTCTCTACCGTGACACACAAAAACACTACGCAAACACACAGCATTTTATTCAACAGCACACACACACAGCACTCAGTGTTTCCCCTATATACAAATAGCGGTGGCGCAAAAAACTATTTTCATTTTTTTATTAAAATAATAATAAGTGGCGACCCTTTTTGATTGTTGATTGTTTGTTATGTGGATTTGTAGTATTTGTGTTACTGTATGTTCAATAAAGGTGTATTTAGCTAAATCTTGAGACATTTCCACTGTATGTACTTGGCCTCAAGAGCCTTTCTTGTGCTGGCAGACACATAGAAACATATTGACGGGGCGCACTTCGCACACACTAAAAAATGTCACGTGCTCCGCGCTCACATTTTGCCTTAGCACCGCTGCTATGACTCCATCCTAGGGGAAACACTTGCACTGACATAGCTCATTACCTTGAGGAAATTTAAATTTCAGTTAAATGGAACCTATCCTAACTTTCAATGTGTTGTGTGCCCCCTTAAAACAAATCACAGGTTGCAAAATCGTAGTGCGTAGTTTAGAGTTGACCTTGGAGAAGTTCAAAAGAGTGTTTTTTTCCCCTAGTTATTTTAAATCTAAATATATTAAGAGGTGGGGGTTAATGCATAGTTCAAAAAAAGATTAAAGAATAAAAGAAAGAACATTTAAAACGAATAACCCTTTTTATCCATTAATCATCTTATGACCCCTAAGTTTTATCATCAAATTGTGTTTTATGTCTGACTAAAAGACCAAAACTCAAAAGATGAATATGAAACTGAGAAAAGCTTCACATTCTGGACATATTTCATTGCCATAGCTGTTCAAAACTTAAAAATCTGTATCCGAGGAAGCATCAATTTGAGTTTTCTCTGAAATATGTTTAAATAAATGGGTGAAGTTGATTTGGACACCACTTGTTCAAATATTTGAAAGAGTTGAGGAGGTAGTAGGACATTGTGGAACTGAATACTGAAGGGTTATATCTGTAGTTTTCAATGTCTGGTTGCTATAACACCAACATTAATCTCTGTGATATGAGCTCCATGGTTACGAGATTAACTACAGTGAGTTCAAGAGGACGAGCGTCCAGCGCTTGAGCAGAGGATCGATCAGACAGTACTAATGGATTAGAAAGGTCCAGCTAGACGCTCCGATATCTGTCAGCTGCTTCCATGTGTCTCCTTAAATAACTAACGTAGTGTAGATCGATATGGGGCGATCAAGCTGACTGAACATTCAACTGGCCAGAGATCAATAACACTTAGCATCCCCTCTCCCATCCCCTAACTAGCTTAATGTGACACAGGAAGACTGATGGAGACAGAACATCAACACACACACACACACCTCTCAAAGAGGCTTAGGAAGTGTCAAACAAAAGGGCAGCATCTGCTTCCCTACTCTATAACTGAGCAGGAAAAGGAAAAAAGAAGGAGACCGGGACCCTCACACTGACATTTCACATCGATACACAGAACTGTAAAAGAGGAGCGGTGAAGATCTCCTCCACTTGACAAACTGACATTCTCTGTAGGAAAATACTCCTGTCTGGCTCTCCTGCCAAGAAATCCCTCCAGCCAAACGCTGTCTGCTGCCAAAAGTCACTCAAGCATTTTTCTGCACGGGGCATACACCACGCAGAGTCTCTGCATCAGAAATACTACCCCGCCTGGACCAGTGACCCGCTCACTGTTTCACTGGGTGATGATGATGTCCATACGGGCCCAATTATATGTTTTCCTCCTATTCTACACTACGTTTTCCCGAAAAAAAACTGTTGTATCTTTCTAGCAAAATTCCGAAGTCATGCACTTTCACACATTTGCAGAGAGGAGCTGCAAAACACAACCAGAGTCTGGGTTGAGTAGTGAGAGTTTAAGGCCTTGCTCAAGGGAAGAACTGCTGATCTATTCAACTATTAACAACCATTTTTCCAGGCTGGTTTAGCAAGCAACCAATTTAACCAATTTGTTACCAATTTAATAACCATTCATAAATACCCCAAAACAAGTGTAATACAACAACTACAATCTAAATTTGTGTAAACAACCTTAATTATGTTTTGGTCCTGACCAAAATGATGTGTCTGAGTATCTATAACTGTCACATATGAAAGTTAATGCCACTCTGTGGACTGATTTGTAATCTTTTTTTATTTATTTTTTACAAAAATCTTGCACAGATGCTCGTGATCATGCATCATTTATCATTTGAGAAGTTTGGCTATTTATTTTTTAGATAAAAGAGATGGTTTTCTGGAAAACTATGTAAACATTAATCAAGGAAAGTTAAAAAGAAAGAAAAGCTTTTAGTAACCTTCAATGAAAGGCTGACAGATCGCACATAGGGTTCTCTAATCAATTACGACAAAAGTTAAGAAATCAGAGACACAAGTTTGGAGTGTAATCTTTGAGGAATGTAGAATTTCGCTGGTCACCGATTGGTCAGTTTTAAACTTGATCAAAGAGACGTAGTAAACTAAGAGCATATACACGGATCAAGCAATAACATCAAAGCCAGTAAACACTTGTACGACTGATCAAGTTGCAAATTGGACCAATTCAGAGTCAATACATCTATGGTCACAGTTAAATAGAAACAAAGACAGAAGGAAAGGAAGTGAGGAGGAGGAGGAAGGATTGCGACTCACTGCATCCGTCCTCGTCACTGTGGTCCCCGCAGTCGTTGTCTCCGTCACACTGCCACTGGGCCGGGATGCAGGTACACTCGCCAAACGCACTGACCGCACATGTGAAGTGGCTCCGTCCGCACGAACACTCAGCGCTGCCGTGGACGCCTGCAAACACAGAGGAAGAGAGGGTTTAGCATCTAAGACATAAGAAAAATGACTTTCCGTTATTGGAATTCATACAAACAAATGCTGCAGGTATTTGCCCACGTAGCTAATTTTCCAATCTTTTGCTTGTCATTTCATGAATTTGAACGTATACAATGTGCAGGTAAACACACCAAGCGACGCTGGTGCTTTCTGTTTTCGAGCCAAACCGCTAAAACCAGCTTAATATTAAAACTGATCGTTTTTCTGCTCCTTTTTAACTACTGCCTAAATACAAAAGCATTTAACTAGCAAATCACAAGTCTACTCAATGATGAAGTAGTCACAGGAAATGTTATGCAGTGATATGACCATTAAATTGCTCTTAAAAAAAAGACAATTGTAATTTATTTGTCATATTCTGACAGCAGATTAGTTTGAAAAATTGGATGGATGAACTCTTAAGGATTGACACAAGGCAAATAGGCTAGAGTACTACTAAGACAATGCACAACACAACTTCAATCTGAATATCAGGCCGCTTTACTAAGCCATGTTCATATACTGTTTTCTATCTTAGCATTTAGCTTGATTTTTCTGGTCATGCAGCTCTTTGACAGCGCTCCAACGAGCTGTGTACTGTAAACTACACCCTAATACAATCCATACAGCTACACACACTACGTCACCATGTTGAAATGAGACTTCACAAACCTTCTGAGAGCAATACACATTGTGTAATATTCATCTACGATACAGAACATTTAGATTTCCTAATTACGTTTCTTTAAGTTTTGGACTGTCAAAACAAGACATAATCCTAACCCCCAAGCAGGAATGGACATTTTTAACATGTTCTGACAATTTAGAGATTTATACAGATAAATCCAATAATCTAGAAAATAATCTGCAGATTATCCAATAAAGACAATAATCTTTGGTTCCAGCCCTTTTTGTAGCTGCCAATGATTTATTACTGGCCTGATGTGTCATCATTTACTGGACTTGTGCAATGAAAGCAATGTATACTTGAGGCCCCTCGTCAGTTGTTAAACATATCCGTGTTTGGAGAGCAGTTAGCCAAAGACTCATTTTAATTTCTCTCCTTAGCGGCCAAAGCAGTAAATCCAAAAAAAACAAAGTAATAAGGCAAAGATTGGAGCAAAGTCTTGAGAACAAAGTATACATTCTGATTTAATGTCCAGTTACAGCCCCCTATAGAATGGAGAAAAGGGCTTTACCTGCGCTCTGAACTGAGACTCCAGGGTAGCAGAGACCTCTATTGAATAATTGTTATTAAGAAATAAATTAAACCAATAAGAAATACATATTTATTGTCGCTGAACAAATTGCTTACTGGCCCTTTAATAAGGCCTGAATCGCTGACTGTGTGCATATGTGCACAGACAAACACGTTATCCCAAAATACTTTGTCAAACACACACCCAGGGTCCAAACGTTCTGTACACTCTGCTCTGATTTCCCCCCACAGCTGAGAAAAACACGGAGTCACCACATTTTCAGACGCATCACAGCAAATCCAGGAGAGGAAATAAATAAAGGTTTCCCATTTTGCTCTCCCTTTGATGCTCATTAATAGCCATCTGTGTGTGTGTGTCTATTTTGCTGAAACCAGCTTGCCGCAACAAACCCAGAGTTCCTTGGAACGTGCATATGTGTGTGTGTGTGTGTGTGTGTGTGTGTGTGTGTGGTTCCTGGCTTCCTCACAAAGGCATCAGTCAACCCAGGAGGGCCTGGCAGAGAGAGCTCAGTAACCTTCAGATCCCTCCCACAGCACTAAATTAATGGCCTCTTTCTTTTCATTTCTCTCTCCTTCGCCTCATTCTTGTCTTTCCATCATCCCCTCTTCACACTTCCCTTCAGCTGCCTCTTTCTTTTCTCCTTTTCCTCACGTTTTACTCTGTCACCTCCCATCATTTACAGCACTCTCCCCTTTCGGGAGAGAAACAGGGATGGCGTCACCAAAGTCTTCCTGTTTGTCAAATTGTCCTCAGGCCTGACAGATAGCTTACCTGCCTGTCTTTGATTGCCCTAAAGCCTGAAAATCCCCAACTAAGACGTATACATGATACTTCATAGTACACCAGAGATGTTATTGCAGTGTTGAGGGTTGTTCTGGATTTGGAACTGTGAGCGTTTTTCTTTTATTTATATAGATGTGTGTGTGTGTGTGTGTATGTGTGTGTGTGTGTGTGTGTGTGTGTGTGTGTGTGTGTGTGTGTGTGTGTGTGTGTGTGTGTGTGTGTGTGTGTGTGTGTGTGTGTGTGTGTGTGTGTGTGTGTACTGAGCTAAATTAGAGTCTTTGAGCTGGAGCAGAAGTTGTGTCAACATGAAGCCACATCACAGGCCATGCATTTGTCAAACATGCTTTAAAAAGCTCCAGCCAGAGCCAAAGAAACCATCATAAGCACTGTACTGCACATGTATGCCGTGGAACTGAGAAAAGGAATAGGCAATATGACAATATATACGGCAAGATACATGTCAGCAAGTAGAGTTTTGATGTACTCTGGCTGAGTGCAAGACTCTAATATGACTAGTTGCATTAGATTGTGGGCAGGGGGCAAAGATCTAGAAGCAAGACTGTTATTGTGTCTATCAATTGCTTTATCAAGCTACGTTCCAGAAAATGTTAAAGTCTACCATTTATTTGCAATACAAGACAAATTACATTGATATGACAGAAGATTTTATACATTTTTGTAATAGGACTTGTTGAGTCTTTCAGTATGTTCTCGGAGAGTAATACTCGGTGCCAGAAAACAATGCAAATATTCATAGTAGTGTTACCCTGCCTCCAAAAACGTGCTCAAATATCCACTGTTATCTAGTGAGAATGATCCTGGCAGGTGAAAAGTTAAGTATGAGTGTGTGTCCCAACCAGCAGATCTATAATTTATTTTTACACTGAGAGCATGAACCTACTGAAGAAAGAGATAAACATCACCACTCACTATAAAGCTGAAGACAAACAAACACACACACATTGCAGTCAGCATGGCAGCCCTGAGCTTTCAAGAGCGCCAGCATGACAAACCTCTGATGCGTCTCACAGATAGCAGATCAAATGCTGGGCTGTTTTGAATTGACGGTAGATTCCTTTGAGCTGTGAATGCAAGTTAAGCAAAAATACATCAGTCTTTGGAAGCATGTTTAAATGAAGCAGGTACAGCAGAATCACCTTATCCGTTAATTAGCAAGACTTGTTTACCCGTCTGAAAAGCCAAGTTGGGAAAAGACTGAACACAAGCAGCACAGGGATACAGAGCTGGGATTGAACAGTAAAGCCGTTGTGAACTTCTCTGCTGTTATCAAGCTTCTCCCAGCTGACTTTCCAAATAAAAGCCTTCCAGCAAAGACGATGTATTGTTATTATGCAACTGGAACTGTCTAGGAACTGATTGGTGTTAACCAATTATATATGTTGGTCTAAATCTATAAGTAGAAATGTTCAAGCCACACATGTAATCACTGGACCAGTTTGACAATTACCTAGGCCCTTTATAATTTCTCGAATTCCCTTCCTCGACTCCTATCCTCGTGTCTTAGTCCCGCCCACAGGAGATGCGAGCGGAGGAGTCGAGGAGGGGAACCGAGGAAAGAGGAGGGGAAGCAGCAGGCGGTTAGAGAAATGAGAATTCCTCTCCTCTGAGCGGTCATTTTAAAGAGACGTCCATTAATGATGACAGGAGGCACAGCAGCCCTCTGTCTGATGGACAGATGTGTTCATGATGACTTATATATTTACTTTTAATTAATTCACAGTGCGGTATAATGAGACAATAACAGGCTACAGGTGCGGACATATACACACACACATATTTATATAAATATATACAATTTCAGATTCAAACAAGTATGAGAGCACTCTCATAATAATGTAACACTATCAGAGACTGGATATATCCCCCCTCTCTGGTCGCTACAATGAGGAAAATAAATTACGGGCCAAGAGCTTTTTTTACAAGTATTAAAAGTAAGCAGAGGACACCAAACCAACTGAGACCCGTCTGTCCGCCGCATCTACGCACACACATACACACACACTGTACAACACGCACCTACAGCTCCTAAAGCATAGAGGGATGTCATTACAGTATGGTGAGTCAGCGACCTTCTACAAATATGCATAAGGTAACACTACACTACTATTCTGAAAGTTGTTTAAAAAAAGAAGAAAAACACAAAAGACATCAACTATGGAGTGTTTGCTGCAAAACATTGTAGAATTGATGACTAAACATATTTAGTTCAAATCCAACCTTTAGACATCTACTCAATTCATTAAGAACAGGTACATAAACAAAGATGAACTATAGGGATATACTAAGTTAGAGTAACTCATATCTATTGAGCTTCAATGGTAAAGTTTCAAAACTGAGCACACGCTTGGACTTGCCCGGACTTTGCTAGACCGCATGTTGAGTTGGAGCAATATGCATTCATCCTGGAAGCTTGAACACTTGATAGCAGTGGAACAACAGGATTTTAACCTAATCATCTATGAAGTTATCTGGTAAGTAGCCATTTTTGTTCAGCTTAATTTACCATAGCTGCTTACTGCATATACAGTGTAACACAAGCTGTAAGGTAGTCATTAGCTACGTGTTTTAAGCTACTGTAGCATGCATAGTATACTGATTAGCTAGCTGTTTGTATCCTCCTGTATCCTTTGTTTCACAGTTGCAGTCAAAGTTCATGATTTGTAATACAGTATGTATATATTTATTTATTCTTGTTAGAATTAATGTTACATTTCATAAAAACTGATTAAAATAAATATGAACAGCAACTGACAATGCCCGGCATGTTCAGTTTTTGCAAACAAGCCTTTGTTTTTCTTTCTGAACATTGAAATGTTCTCCTTTTAAGGATGATTCGGTGGAAAGAATAAAAGAGGTTGCTATCCGGTGCTTGGTGGTGTGTCTTCGTGAAAAGGAGGATCTCTTCAAAAAAAACTTAAGGAATTAAAGACGATGCTTAAATCATACTGTAACTTG